GAATCATAAAGTTGTTGATATGTGTGTACAATCACGCCTTTGCAATTCGATAAGTACCTACAAAATATTTAATCCACAACTGTAATCACAAAGCTTAGTGAGTTCCCAAAATACCACATACAACACAGCATAAAAATTAGCTAAGGTTATCAACAAACTCTGGAAACCAACGACGGTCCCCAATGGGCTAACAACACGCCTTATGGATTAACAACACACCTCTCGGGTTATCAGCATCCCTGAGGACTACCAGCAGTCCAGAAGTTATCAGCAACTCATTTCACATGTAACACAAATCAACAAATAAGACTCCGTTGGTCGACATGCATATACGCATATACTACCACACAGGCAAGTATAGTGAGAGGACTTTCCTCGTAAGTAGCAGCTAAACACCACAACTCTCACCCAACAAAGACTGGTCTGACATGGAACCTAACACCAATAAAGAGTACCATCTCAGTCTACACTCCAAAACCGTTAGTTTGATCAAACATCAACCCATGCCAAAAGTCAATGGTCAAAGTCAAAGTCAACAACTAACAATACTAATAGTTGAACCTCACGTCGTGACCAACCCTTGGCCATGTCGTGAGAATGCACCACAACGTGAACCACTCCTTGGTCACGTCGTGAACACAAAAAGGCAAGATAATCGTGAGATCCTTCATTGTCACGTCGTGACACTCTCCAAGTCACGACGTGACCACAGTCTGAAGCATAATCCTAATGGTTTAAGTGCTTAATCCATTAAGTCATCAATTCCAACTTTCCAGAAGAATTTATCCATTCCAAAGCACCATAAAAATCATTGCTTTTTAGACATGCATGTCCAATGCATGTCTTAAACACAAGCTAGGTCAAAATGACCAAAATAAGATCCTAACATCAAGCATGGTATCCAAAAGATCATGAAAGATCAGATTCATAGACCAAAATACTCTTGTGACAAGGTAGAATGATAAAGTTGCAAACTTTATCACATCCCACTACACAGTCTTCATTTAATGGACCAAAAAAAAAGCTTAGAATCTAGATCTAGCAACTCATAATCATAAAGGTGGAAACTTGAATCATACCCAAGGTCCATAACATAGTTGGAAGCTCAGATCTTCTTAAGCAAGGCTCCAAAACTCCATCTTGAAAGAGCTTCTTTCTAAAATCCACCAAGAACTCCAAAAATGGATGAGAGAGGATAAGGGAGGCTCAAAGTGGTGAAGGGAGGCTAGGTTTCTCCCAAGGGGTTCTATATGATGGAGGGTATGAAAAAACCCCTAAACATGAATCCTTACATTTAAATACCTTGAAAACCCTAAAAATTTTGTAGGTTTGGGTTGCATAATTTTCACATCGTGACAGCCTGCTTATCACCTCGTGAGGGCTCTCACGTCGTGACAACATTCCTGTCACCTCGTGAGAACGGTTTTTCCCCAAATTTTACTCCAACTTCAAACAGTTATAACTCCTTCGTTCCAACTCTGTTTTTGACAATCTTTATTTGCACGGAAAAGGTATTGATGAGCCCCATAACCCTATATAACTACTTTTGGCTTAATAATTGTCGAACTAAAACCATAACCCTTACAAGAAGTCCAATATATAACTTTTCCCATTTTACCCTTTTTCTTCGAAGCACAATTCGATGGCTTTAATCACTTAACCCAACATTATCAACATCTGATAGGGTCTAAACTCAATTCCCTTAAAGCCCAAGATCTTTACTTGATCCGTTTATGGCCCGCTATCCCGATAATAGAAACATCTGAAAACTAGGTGTTATAGTTTTCTACAATTCGATTTTCAAGAGGCAAAATATTTTAATAAATATATAATTTAAGAATTAGCTCACTCTATAAAAAAAACGTAAGACATTTTATTAATTAGCTATGAATTAAAATTTATAGATAACTACCAAGAACAAAATATTATAGTTTAATATATCATAGATAAAAAAAAATTTAGATATGAAGTAGATATTTATGGTATTATATTAGATAAATCTTTCTAGTCTGTTAAAAAATAATTTAGTAAATTTGTAAATTATTAGAGATATATATATATATATATATATATATATATATATATATATATAATATATCAAAAAAATGTTATTTGGGTTTTTTTGGACTACTCGGTTTTTATTTTATAAACCAAAACAAATCTGAAATCCAATATAATAATTTGGTTTTGGTGAATCCAAAAAAAGGACCATTTTTGTACAAACAACAAAGGGTATTTTTGTCATTTACAATTACTTAACAGAATCTGTTAACAAAGTTAGTAATAAGGACCTTTTGTGTGCAAGGTTTGCTTTGTAGGGACCATCTAAAGGAAAAAAGTTATGTAAGGATTATTTCAGGAAAAATCTGTAAAGCTAAATGACCATTCGTGTAATTTACTCTTGTAATTTAAGTATTTTTAGTTTATTAAGTATTTTTTATTTTCACTTTATAAGTGTTTGTTTAACAATAAATTGATATGATATGATGTATTTGATTGATGTGCATTTAAATGACAACGTTGTGATATTGGGTATGTGGTCCATGCATGTCGGGATTTGTTGTACCTCTAAGGGTGGTCAGAGTGGCTTGGGAAAATCAGTTTTAGGTTAGAGGAACAGGCAGTACCGTCGCAGGGCTTACACCATCGCATGACAGGTTGGGGCTTTGGCATTCAACATGGGTTGAGGAACTCGTGATTCCTCTTCAACATCTCTAATTTTTGTATTTTAATTATTTTTCTATTATACATACATTTATCTACCAATTTAAAACCACACCTTTTTTTTCTTTCAATTTCATTATATTCTCTTATATTTTCTCTTCGTTACTCTATTCTCTCTACATTTCAATTCAAAAATTAAAAATAGATGCCATTCCTAGGGCAGTTGTATTTGCGGAATAGTCAGAAATCGAAGAAATGGCATTGGCTCGAGCATATATTAACACTTTTGATAATAACCACGTGAGTCAACATAGATCATTATATTTTTGGCGATCAGATCTAGATCATTTTAAGCATCAGCTTGGGGGTTCGAATCGTCAACCCATCAATTTTTTTCAAAATGAAAAGATATGCAAGGAAAAATGAAAGAGTTTAATGTTATTTTCACCCACAAGATGAATACCCGCGAGCCTAGAGTTTCCGACGAAGAAGTTTTAAACACAACAAAAAATGAGTATCGCGAACACCATAACATGAAAGATTTTCGGCACGAGGCGGTTTAAAAATATAGTTTCATTTTTTAATTAAATGTTATTTTTAATATTGTTTAATATTTTTTTGGTTTTTAAATTTGTATAAGTTTATTTTAAAGATTAAAAATTTATAAAAATGTTATGTTGTATTTAATTTTGTATTTTCTTTTTTAATTTAATTAAAAATAGTTATGTGGCAGGCGGGTTGAGTGAGTTTGAAAAGATGTTATTTTCATGTGTTGTGGGTTGGAAAAGATGAAAGAAAGAAGAAAGAGAAAAGTTGACGTGACAGTGTGTCACTGTGTTGAATGGGTTGAGTGGTTTCTACTCCTACTACTACCCTAATGGTGCACAGAGTAGATAGAAAGATGAGGATGTATGAGAGTACCTACCTCCAAGACAACTACTCCCCCTCATGAGATACCCTTATTTTGATGTTTCTTTGGTGCTTCAAGTGGCTTGTGTAACCCGTTGCTTCCTCTATTCTAACTTTTATTGTATGTTATGATTTTTTATTTGTACCATATGTTGTTTTGTATGTTTTTACTTGAGTGAGTTAAGTATGATAAAAAAAATATGTTATTTTTATATGTTGTGAGTTGCGAAAGATGAAAAAAAAAATAAAAGAACAAAAAATTGATGTGGTACTAAATTGAGTGAGTTGGAAAACTTCTACTCCTACGACTCTCATCCCAAGATCCTCATATGAATCTTGATTCAAGATTGGTCCTTGTGTGAAACAACACTAGAAAATACAAAATAATCTTTTTTGTTGTTTAGCACATCAAAAGATAAAAATAAAATGTCTTTATTGCTTACAAATAATGTCCATAGAAAAGAAGATAACTCAATTATGGATCAGAATGGCCTCATCCAATCTGTTTTATTCTCATAAAAATAGAGAAAGCCAAGAGATAATACTTTTCAGCAAAGAAAAATGATCGATTACATCATTTAGGATTATCACCCTCATTCTCATAAGCTGTCTTCTGAGAGGGATAATGACTTAAAAGGGTAATATATTTTTCGATTTGTACACATTTGGTCACTGAGTTTTTTTTCCGTCCACATTTACCCCTTCAACTAGTTAAACTGTACACATTCAGTCCTTATGACTTGGTTAGCCGGGAAAAATGACTTAATAGGGTAATATATTTCTCATTGTGTACACATTTAGTCCTTAATATTTTTGTACACATTTAGTCCTTAATATTTTTTGTTTCAAAATAACTCATTTTTGTTTTTGTACTCATTCAGTACTTATGAATGATTTCTTTAGTTTTTTCTCACGACATCTTACGTGAGACTATCATTGATGAAGTGTGTGGGGTTGTTGATGTTTATGTGTTACGTCTCATTTTAACAACAAAAAATTTTCATTTTTAAATAAAGCAAAAGTCCCTGATTATAAATCCATTATTAAGAAAAAACGTTTATTCCAAAATACATTTATCGAAAATCAAAGTAATATAAGAAACGCGGAATCATCAATACTATTGATGAGTGTGTACAATCATGCATTCGCCCTCCCACGATCAACGATAGAACCTGAAAAACATAAACAACTGGGTAAGCACAAAGTTTAGTGAATTTTCCCCAAAATACTCGATACAACAAATGTATTATCATGTATAACGAGCCCACATTCATCAGATTGGAATACCTTGACCCAATCAGTTATCGGACTGGAATGCCAACATGCAACAGGTCCAATCAGTCATTAGACTGGAATACCCAGGGTTTGTCGGCACGCCGCCTTAACCTAACTGCTCTTCTCGAGCCTCCGTGCTTACACCTTACAGCCGGCCCGCACCAGGTATCTTGGCCTACAACATATAGCAGGACCACCTCAACCTATCCCACCACCATATGGCTATCCCTCGTAAGATGTCGTGATAAAAGCTTAAATAAATCATTCATAAGTAGTAAATTAGTACAAAAACAAAATGACTTATTTTGCAACAAAAAAAAAATATTAAGGACTAAATATGTATAAAAATATTAATGACTAAATGTGTACAAAGTGAGAAATATATTACCCTATTAAGTCATTTTTATCGGCTAACCTGGAGTAGCCGGTCATAAGAACTAAATGTGTACAGTTTAACAATTTGAATGGGTAAATGTACACGAAAATAAAAGTCAGTGACTAAATATGTACAAATTAAAAAATACATTACCCTTTTAAGTCCTTATCCCTTTCTCAAAACACAAAATGTTAACCTATATATTTCGACTTATTATGGTATTTTTATGTTATATGAACTAATTAAATGCCAAAATTTATTATTGTTTATTATTATCAATGTTAACCCAACCATGATCACGCGCTTACTATAAATATAATATTAATTTGTTTGAAAATTAAATTTGAAGTACAATATAATAACCAATAAACACGTGTTTGACATATATCATATATTCATGTCGGTTAATGATTTTTTCAAAGATTTTATGTTTTTCTCAGCATACTTTTTAACTTTATACACACTTTCAATGTTACTAACACTATTAAAGAAAATTCAAACACAAATATTTTAAGACGTGTTTGGTTAGTAAATTCAGAGTAGACAATAGAATTCATTCAAATAAATAAACAAATAACAATTACTACAAGTGAAAATCAAAAACTGTTTAATTTTCATATTGAATTCCAATTCATTTCTTGCCAAATTACAACTCATTAAGATTTTTATTTCTTTATATTTCAATTTCTTCATGTTTTATTCATTCATATTCTAAATTTCTAATTTCTTCATGTTTTCTACAAATCAAACGCCCCTACAAATAATTATTATCAAGACCAATACATGTTATACTTTTAAGGCCTTTTGGTAAAAACTAGCTTATAAGCTAGATTGCAATATAAAATAACATAAATAGACATTTTGATATATAACTAAAAAAAATAGATATAGTTAAAGGTATATTTGGAATAATTTTGAAAAAGCTCCATAAGTTTCTCAAAAACTATATCTCAAAACAGCTTATCAAAACCTTATAAGCTAATTCATAAGCTAAAATAAATTACTTTTGTGGTTTTACCAAACAGTAAGTTACAATAATATTAGCTTGTTTTTGCCAAACAGGACTTAAGTTTTTAACAATTCAGTGTATTTCCTAATTGACACCAGATTCTGAATCAAAAATTTATACAAAAATTCAAATACAACAGTGTTGTTATCTTAACAGAAAATGAGAAATGAAAATTCAAAACCCTTTCCAGAAAAAAAAAAACACACACAAAGGATAAAAACGGAAAAAAAAAACTTCAAATGGGTACCCTCACAAAGCATCACGGGAAGCAATCCTACAAGTTATAGCATCTCCAATTGTTGATATTCCCAGTTCTACCCCCGTTATTTTGTATTGCTGATGAAAAAAATATAGCATTAAAAAAATGAAATAAAAGAAAAATCAATGATCAAATTCAAACCTTTAGTATTTGAGATTTGTTTGCTCTTCCTTCCAACTCTTCTAAATCAATTTCCTTTCCTTTGATAAGCGTCTTCATTGCATTCAACTACACAAACAAACAATAACTTACTCCTTATTGCACACTCTACTATATCAACATTAAAAAAAAAAAAAATGGAAAAATTCATTACACGATCAATCTCACCTCCTCTTCAGAAGCATTAAATCGAGCAGCAAGAATATATGTGGTGCTATCAGAGATACCACAACGTTTTAATGATTCAGAAATCTGTTCAAAAAAAACACATTTGTGAGAATAAAGCTTCATAAACAATAAAAACAAGATGATATTGTGAAAGATTGTTGTTACATTACATGCTTAGATCCCGAGTAATTATAAACAAGCTCAGAATGAAGAGTCCGAGTTGTCAATGAATCCCTTGATTTGGATACAAGTGTTTTATGAGCAGCTGCTAAAACCGGGAAAATATCTGGAATCTAAACATTGTTTCAGGGAAACTCATATTAGATAAGGAATAATATAGCTGTGTTTATTACACAACAGGAGGGCATTCACGTTTTTTCCACAAATGAGGTGTGGAATGTTATATGAGAGGCTTGTTAAAGCATGCCTACCAAAGATGCATTGAGAAGGGCTACTTCAGGTTCTAGTGTTCCAGCTTGCATCAGCTCCAAAAGTTCCCTTAATGATTTGTGTAAGAATATGAATAAGTATAACTAAGAATGCAACATTGATTACGTGGGTAATTTGATATAAGTATCATGATTTGAAGAGATGCATCAACTTGAATTTAAACAAATGATACGTAGAAAGTAATTCTCAATTATAAGTAGCAGGTATGTATGAATAATAATATTGAATAATTTCTAGGTAAAGAATGGCAGACACGTGTAAATTTGGGGAAATAGAGAAATGAAGAGAGGAGTACTTGGAATTAGCGACCTCTGTGAAGAGAGCAACAGACAAAGTTGTTCCAGATATCTCGTAGTGCTTCATTTCTGCAAATGAAATTCAAACAAAATTTCAAAGATAGTGTTTGGAATCACATTTTATATCAGCTATTCCATATATAATATAATAATACTATGAACAGCCATGTCCAATTTGCATTCGAAATGTACTAGGTGTATGAAAGTTCCAGATGCCAACACAGACGTCATGGCTTAATATGTATAAATAATAAGTAAGGGGTGCAATTATAATCTGGAATTCCTTCAAACCACAAAAAATTCACATACAAGTAGATAAGAATTGCATGTCTGCAAACCACACCAAATTCACATATAGAGTTTATTGCTGCACAAATCAATTCAATACAAATATATCCCCGTTCAAACCCTGTAGATTTTTTGACTCAATATCTCCCACGACTTCAATATGAACCAGAGCTTATAGACTAGAAAAAAATGGATAAACCGCAAAAAAAATGCAGTGGCGCCGATGACGGAGGTTCTAATCAGTTAAAAAACCAAATTGTAGCAGATTCGTTGAGAGATTTACCGGAGGTATCGCCGATGGAGAGAGGAAGGAAAGTATACGGCGGCGCTGGAGAAGGGGGTGACGGAGACGTTGGCGAAGGTAGGAGATGATGGTGGAGTCACGATGTGTGTTTGCAGAAGAGAGGAGAACAGCGCTCTCTTTAGGGCAAAGCGGCAATGTGGTCTATTTTTCTAATTTCTCTTAGAAGACTTCTTTTTAAAAAAACTTAGCCATTCAAGTCTATTACTATAATCTTATTGTTGATTTAGGTCTATTTGGTTGGAGTAATGGAATGGGAAAATGACACTATTAACCTATAATATATTTCACATTTGTCATTTGGTCTCTTATTTTATTTTCGTGCCTTTTAAGAGAACAAAATTGTCGGGTCGATTTGGTCCTTTTCAAAGAACTGAAGGGGTTAGTCAGTGACTTCCTCATCTAAAACGTTGACCAGTTCACCAATTAACCGGTCTTTGCAACGGCCTCATTGAGAAAATTTCCTTCATTCCTTCTTTTTCTCAGTTTCTTCTTCTTCGTCTCTTTCGTTTTTCTTCTTTTGCTGCATCTGAATAAGAAAATTATGGTGAAGTGTGATTGTGGAAGCATGACAATCATAAGGACTTCCACCACTAAGAAGAATCTCGGTATGGAATACCATGCTTGCCCGAATATGGTACTCCATTCTCAAGAAACATTTGGGTTTTTTCAATTCTAACCTAATTTTGATAATTGATGATATTGAAATCTGCAAGGACCTAGTAGTGGGTTTCTTTTGTGGGTTGACGAGGCTAAAAATCATGCGCATGTTGTTGAAGTCCAAAATCAAAGCTTAAGGGAAGTGGTAATCCAAATCGGAGCCTAAAGATCTGCTTGAAGGAGGTGGTAAGCCAAAATCGGAAGCTAAAGGTTTGGTTATTGTTCAGTTGGGTTTTGTTTTTTTGGCATAAATGTTTATAAGTTGTAATTTGATGAATGTTAGAATTGAATTTGTTATGGATTTTTTGGTTTTTGGCACATCGGAAGTGATAAGTTCATGTAGTTAACAGCTGCAGGAATGGAGCAACACTTTTATATATATTACCGATTTCTTTGTCATATTTGTCCCAAAGAATAAGTGAGAACTTCATCTTATTGCTTGGAAAAATGAGAATTGATGGCTTCTTCTATCTTAGAACCCTGATCATTTTTTTTCATGTGTTTCCAAATCAATGGCCTTAACAGATCCACTGCACTTGATAACTCACCACGTTTGCGGTCCATAACTTAGGATGCTTATGATTCCTTAAATCATTTTGTGATTTTGACATATACATTCTCAATTTGATTCTTGAATGGCAAAATGTTGTGTGATTTTGACTTTTAGATTCTCAACTTTGATTGAAACTGACTACTAAAGGTAGAGGGCCTAAAAAAGACAAGTCACCAATAAGTTTGTTCCCTTAAAAGGCACGAAAATAACATAAGAGACTGAATGGGAAATGTAGAATACATTATAGGGCTATAATGTCATTTTCCCTAATGGAATGGATTGTTATCATTCTTTTGTCATATTTGGTGTTTGGTCAGAAATAATAGAATATCAAGGTAATGAAATGGATTGTTATCGTTTTATTGCAAGGTTCTAAAAAGCTTGCGATTGCTTCGTCACAGTGTGTCATGGCTCCAAGACTTATACTTGACGTCACGCTTTAACAAAATGTCGCATTAAGTCATATATGTATATAAAAATGAATAATAGTACAAAAATATATATTGAGTTATTAATTAAATACAAAATTGCCGCCTTAAGTCACGTCTTACAAACGACGTGGTTCGCAACAACTTGTAAAAGCTTGAGGCTTGACATTGTCACCAAATCACATCTAACGTTATTTAGAACATTGTTTGCAACCAGAACTCACACTTGGAGAACTTGGCATACAAGCTCTCCCACCTCAGAGTATCCAACACCTCCCGCAAGTGCTCCTCATGCTGCTCGTGCGTCTTGGAAATGACCAAGATCTCATCAATGAAAACTATCACGGACCGATCCAACATTGGTCTGCACACGCGGTCAGGAGATCCATGAACGCGGCAGGAGTATTGGTGAGCCCGAAAGGCATCACCACGAACTCATAATGACAATATTGTGTCCGAAAGGCAGTCTTCTGCACATCCTCCTCTCTAACCCTCATCTGATGATAACCTGAACGCAAATTAATCTTGGAGAACCAAGATGCCCCCTGAAGTTGGTCAAAGAGATCATCAATCCTCGGGGGTGGGCAACGGTTCTTCACCGTTACCTTATTCAACTCCCAGTAATCTATACACATCCGATGCGACCCGTCCTCCTTCTTCACAAATAGAATCGAGGCTCCCCAGGGTGAACTGGTCGGTCTGATAAATCCCTTGTCTAACAGCTCCTGCAACTGTATAGACAATTATTGCATCTCGGGAGGAGCCAACCGATACGGTGCTTTACCTATCGGAGCCACACCAGGAACTAGGTTGATCCTGAACTCTACCTGCCTCTCCGGAGGTATCCCAGGAAACTCTTCTGGAAATACATTCGCGTACTCTCGTACTACTGGCACATCGCTCACCGTCGCCTTACCCGCCTCCCGGGTATCCATAACATAGGCGACATACCCTGCGCAACCCTCCTGGAGGTAGCGCCTAGCCCTCGCTGTTGAACATAAAGTTGGTCAACACTGTGTCCTCTTGCCCTGAATCACCAGCTCTCCCCCACTTGGGGTCATGATCCGAACCAACTGTTGCGCGCAATCGATCATTGCCCCATTGGGGCTCAACCAATCAATGCCTATAATAACCTTGTTCCCCCGCAATAGTATGGGAACCAAGTCTACCAAGTAGTGCTCCTCAAACAACCTCAAAACACAATCCCTGAAAACCTCTAATGCTCGCACTGACCGGTCGTTCGCAATCTCGACCTCTAGAGGGCAATCCAACATGCCCGAAAACTCAGGGAACCTCTTGCTAAGTGCAAGAGAGACAAACGATCGGGTGGCACCCGAATCAAGCAACACCTAAAATGGGATACCGTTCACATGGAACGATCCTAAACATAGCATATAATATGGCATATCAATCTCACAAGCGACATATAATAAAAGTTTAAGGAGAATAAATCATACCCGTCGCCACATCAGGTGTGGCGCGTGCCTCCTCGGCTGTCAACTGAAACGCTTGGCTCCACACCACTGGAGCATCTGACTTGACCTTCCGGCCATCCGCAACTCGTGATGTCGCTGGAATCGGCGCCACCACTGGTGCTGCTGTTGTTGCTGTCAATCTAGGGAAGTTGGCCTTTTTATGGCCCCTCTGGTTGTAATGGAAGCCAATCAGATCTGATGTCTGAACAGTGGGGGCGGGGGCAGTACAATCCCTGCCAAAGTGCCCTATCTTGTCGCACTTGTAGCAGCCCTATGATCCCGCTCTACAAGCTCCCTCATACGGTCTGCCGCATTTCTTGTAGCGGCTCTGGCCCGGCTGGCCCTTCGACCTAGTGTCGGATCCCTTGGGTTTCTTCCCCAAAACCCCAGTAGCCTGCTCTGTCTCTGCCTTCCTCTTCCTGAGGTGCTCTAAATCAATCTCCCTCTCCCTGGCAATCATAGACTCCAGGGTCGGGCAGGCTGAATAGTTGACATACTTCCAGATATCAACCCTCAACATGTCATGATAGCGGGTCTTCCGCATCTCCTCATCCCCTGCATACTGAGGTACCAACAAGGCCCTCTCTCGGAACTTGGCGGTAATCTCCACCACTGTCTCAGTAGTCTGCCTTATATCAAGAAACTCCCTGGCCAGCTGCTGAATCTCCACAACTGGCGCAAACTCAGCCCTGAACCTGGTCACGAAACCTGACCAAGTCATAGCCTCGATGGCTGGGGCTCCCAGTGAGTCACCGAATGACTCCCACCAATCCCTCGCTCTGTCTCTTAGACATCCTGTAGCAAAGCGGACATTCGACCCCTCCGCACAGAAGCTCGTCAACTGCACAGACTCAATGTGTACGATCCATCTCCTGGCAGCAATAGGGTCCTTCACCCCATGGAAGTCCGGCGCACTACTCCCCCTGAAGTCCTTGGAGGACAGTGTACGCGTCCCTGACTGTCTAGATGCCAAGTCGCTCCTGAATGCCCGGAGGCAATCCTCCATCAGCTCGATAATCCCCTCCTTGGTCGATCCGAAAATAATTGGGGTCGACTCAAGGATACCTCTCGTGATCTCCGATGCGATGAACTCGCGTAGCCCGTCATCAACCTGCTCGGATCATACTGTCAAGCATTCCTGGGGTATTGACCTACCCTTCGGTCCTAACGACCGAGGCGGGGGACTATTCCCCTCCTACTACCGCTATCACATACAACATATATTGCTGGCACATAAAGCACATCTGGTAATAGCAACCTAGATAATTATCACAAACAATCATCTAAAGACAATCCCTGCTGGTAAGCCGACATTGTGGCTGTAGACCCACCTCTACTGGAAGGTAACTCACCTCGAAAACTGCGTGTCGAATCTCATGGAAAGTAGTCTCTAACAGCTGCTCTGATGACTCTCGGCTAACATAAACACATTAACACCCGATCAAAGTGTATAACACAACTTAGGGTAAAATGACCATTTTACACCTTGGTCCAATTGGGACATCCAAGAGTCCCAATTCTAACTTATTAAGCCCAGTCCTCCAATGGCCCATTAAAGACTCCTAAAGGCCCACTAACTGCCCAATTCCTGAATTGGGCCTTATCCCCCTAATTGGGCCCAAAAGCTCCAAGTCTAAATGTAATAATTCCAAAGGGTCCAATCTTGGCCCAATAGGCCCAATGCTCTAGTTCCAGATTTCTAAGTCCAAAGTTATACTTCTCAGTAGGCCACAGGACCCAAAGCCCATGCCCATATCCTTAAGGCCCAAAAGCCTATGGTTGCCATTCTACACACGTACGCGTAGCGTACCTGGCAAGTACACCCATCGTACTCTTGGCCGCAAACGAAGGTTGACCGTAAACGGTAACTGACCGTGAACGGTAATGGACTATAAACGGCAACGGACCGTGAACCACCCCAGTACGCACAGCGTACCAGGGTGTACGCTTAGCGTACAACCCAGTTTCCTTGGGACTTCACTTCCGACATAATCCATTAAGTCTTTACGTCCAAAATGTAGATCCAGGTCCTTTAAGGCCTCCTAAGCCATAAAGTTACGAACTTTAGGTGCTTGCATGCATGGCTGGGGTCAAAACATGATTTTGGTCCATTATACAAGCTTTCAGACCAACTAACACTTGCATGGTTTTGGCTTAACCACTAAGATCCAATTTTTATGACCCTAGGTGCTTCTAAGAGTCAAAGGACAGCTCTTATGCTCTGGAACCAACAATACTCAAGCACTCCCAACAATGGGGTCAAAAAGGACATCAAAACCCCAAATAAATAAATCTAAGCATACAATGGTCAAGTATGGAACTTGATACCTCAAAAGAGTCAGAAATGGTATCAATCCTCTAGATCTACAAGCTCTTCGTGGATCCTTGCTTCTTCTTCAAGCTCATTTCTTCTTTTATCACTAAAGCAACACACAAACACTCTCAAATGGCTTC